GAGTAATATTCTCCGTAGATCATGAGATTAACAGATAAATTAAATCAAAGACAAATTTCCTTAAAAGTTATTTTGGGAATAAGCGTATTATTAACAAAAATGACTCTCAACCTCAGTTGTGTCTTAGAATCATCTGGGAGCTTTTTCAACTTACTGAGGTCCAGACTCTTCATCCAGAGAAATGATGTAATTCAACTGGGCTGAAACCTGGGCATTAGCAGTTTTAAAAAGACCCCCAGGTAATTCTAATTTAGCCAGAATAAACCACTGACATATACAACATGATTCTGCATATTACAATATTTTATTTCTCTTTAGTGAATGTATAATACAACTTTTTTCCAATTTTGCATTTCTCTGAAAATTCCAAAATGTATTTTATTTTACTCTTGACTGAAGTAAAGAGGACTTGAAAATATACCTGTGAAGTTTGAAGGCATTGGCACAATATCGATGTGTCGTTTCTTTTTCCAAGTTGCTTGGTAAATTGACAATTGATAAGGCGCCAAAGGGGCATTTCTGTTATTTAAAGTAAAGAATTTTTTGTTACTTTTCGGAAGTATACACATGACTAAAATGGATAGATTAAAAATTTTGTATAACCAAGCTTCCAAATGTGGGAGTTGCACAAAGATATAAAATATTGTTTTTCTTATTTACTTAAAAATAAGTTCCTTGAAGGTAGAGAATCATATTAATTAACTTTGTGTTCCCCTTAGTGACTGCCATAATCCTAGTCATTTAATGTGTTTGATACTTTTTGAAAATCTTACAGAACTTGAGGTTTCGCGTTTGTTTTGTACATTATTAGATAACAGAAGGCTAAGACGCAAGATGAAACATGATTCCTGAGTACTATATGACTGCAAATTCAGCCCACAATAGAAGCCTTCCCTCTTCCTCCTTCCTCCTGTCTTTGTACACATCCTTTTCTACCCTGTAAAGTTCTTTATGCTCACGGATTGTACCTTTTTTGGTCCATTTTCATGTCCCACTGATAGCTAGTGTAACATTTGCATAGATCAGGGATTAATGTCTTTCTGCTGTGATTTTTAACCATCTCATATGAAAATAAGATACTTCATATTCCAATTGAGTAAATTCTCATTAAAAAGGCTTATTCATGGAAAAACTTATTCAAGTAACAGCTGACTATCAATTAGATAAATGACCGACAAGAATAAGAACGACATGAATGGGAAGGTTATTTAAGAGTGGTAATGTGGCTAGAAAAATTTCTCAGAAGTACAGAAAATTTAAAAAAAGTACCCCCAAAGAGTATAATCTCAGAATAGATATCTGTTTAGCAGAACTGTTCAATGAGCTCAGAGACCAATTAAAAAGTCTCTGTATATAAAGATTTCATTGAATTCACATTTTATAAGTCACAGGAACACAGGCAAAACAAAACAAAAAAATTAACATCCTCTAACTAAAACTATTGATTCTTTATATGAAATTTTTTTTGCCAATGGAATTACATCCATTTACAGAATTCTCTTTATTCCATCAATATATATAAAATGCTCACAGGTTGCAAGTAATTTAAAATTCTCTAAAACTACAAGGAAAAAATATCCGCACTGTTCATATATGAGGGGCATTATAAGTATCTTAGTGTTCAGCGGTATATACTACCCCCACTTCCAAACAGACTCATCACATTAGTATCTTTTCAGCCACTGAATTGCATACCCCAAATTTTGGAACCTAATTTTTCTATAGCAGTGAAGAAAGAAAATAGTGTTCTTTCTGCATAGAGTGAATAATATATTGTTCAAAATCAGATTTCCAGCACCCAGGACATCCGCAGGCATATAATAAGAGATTAGTAAGTATTTGCTGAAAGAAGTGTTTCTTCCTTATATTTTCAAAACAAGGGAAAATGCTTTCAGTACCACGAAAATTTTTCTGGATACTTAGCTAAAGATTCAGAAACCAATGTAAAATACATATAAATATTATTAGAATGAGTAACAGGGTGGCATACATATTCTGGTAAGGTCCTTTTTAACATATATTACCTAAGAACAAAAAAAAATCTAAATTAAGAACTTCATCCATTGGCTCCTAAATATCTTTAATGAACTAAAGTTGGAAATTCATCATTCTTAAGTCAAAAACCCTAATCAAACTATTCAATGCAACAAAAACTAATTGAAAAACTATCCTATTGAAATAAACCCAACGACAGAAGAATGTATAATACAGCGGGAGCAGCACTTAAAAATTAGGTTAAATTGAAAAATTTGGGCTGTGTGCATTTCAGATTTGAAAATGTCTGCCATATGACTCATATTTTTTTGTATTCATATTTCCAAAAATTTCTGCTGAAGATATGTTAGAGAATGTCCTTCTCATAAAAGGGTGAAAATGAGAAATTAATTTTGGTTGGAAATGGCTTTACAAAATTGACTATGGCAAGGATCACTTTAAAATTGGGTGGTTTAATTAAAAAAGCAACAATATTAGATTATTTACATAAGAATACAATTTTCTTAAATTTATATTCTTTACTCATTGCTTTATATTTCACCTCTTTAAAACCAGTTATAATGTATTAATAATTTTGATTTCATTTTTAGGTTATAAATTTGATCAGAGAAATAAATATCACTTACCTTAATACAAATACCACAACCAATACAAAGAGTTTCAGAAATCCATGCTATTTTGCTCTGGGGTGTAACTTCAATGCATAATTTTCCTGGCAAAGGAAAAGATAGAATTAAGCTATTTTTTTCTGACATTCCAATTTTCTAAACATTGTTATTTAGGCAGTTTGATTCCAAAGTTCCACACAGAAGCAGATTTTCAAAAACAAAGGCCACACAGAAAATTCAGTATCTTAAATCAGTGTGTTGTGGGGAAAGATTTCTGAATTTATTATTTACATGAATACTCTTGTCAAGCAACAGAGAGATGACTCTAAATGTTTATTTTATTACCGAGGAAGAAAATATGCTAGTAAAATTGTGGTAGAGCCTAAATGAGTTTTATTTTTAAGTTGACTGACCTGAATATGTAAGTCACAAAATATGCCTTGGAAATGGCAATGTATATCAGAGAAAAGAATGAAATATGTTAGCTGGATCAGTGAAGCTCTGAGAGGTATGTAGTCATCTAATGTATACACAAAATAAATTTGGTATCAAGGATATTAACAATGGAATTTCTGAACTGCGTGGCAGACTATAATAGATGACATCTAAAGTTTCTTTCAAGATACAGTAAGCTAGTACCTCACTAGTACAATTAAAGTAACAATTACTTTTAACACAGCCCTTAAAGACTACCAAAAACTAATCAATTCTGAATTGCTGTAATTTATTTAATCTTGACTATGTAGCAAAGCCTCACGAACAGTAATTCTTATTAAGCTCTTCATTCTTGCATTTTAAAGTGAGAATATTATCAAACACAAACATACTGGCCTTCCTTTCTCCATGAGTTAAAGTAATTACAGGATTTTGTAGAATAGTAAGAATCTTAGTAACTTGAACTCTGGTCTGATTTTACATTCAATAAGCTTTAGAAAATACTGATATTAATACTTTATTCTATAATTAAAGAAACAATCATTTAGTCATAATAAAAGAAAATTTAGAACAAAATCTGGTCTTATCTTTACATTTCAAATAAACTAATGGCTAAAGCCTAGAGAATTATGAAGCTCATTTATTTCTTTTAAAATCTCTTATCTTTAAATGGTGCACAGATCAGCTTACCCATTCGAACCACAGGGCAACTCTTTTTGCACTCCTGCCGACATTTCTTAGGTTTACATTTGTCATGGTTGACAATAGAAATTCTCGTTAATTTATCCGCCATAATTCTAAGTAAGAAAGAATATCCAGCTCTTCTATTAAAGAAAAATTAACATAATTATGGCATAGTCGATGTAATCGGTTAAGAGAAATAAGTCATAGGCATAAAAGTTAAATACATTATCACCATATTCAGATATAATTGTCTGGAACTCTTAAAAAAAAACCTAGTGAAAAGTAATAACATAATTTAGAAAGGCTGGGAAAACAAAGATTTACATATATACCATTAATCAAAAAATTCATAAAAACATTATTTTCAAGTCACAAAAAAAGATACAGGTATCAAGAAGATATATACACATGTGAGGAAACTTTCAAAATACCGCTGAAAAACAAAGAAGACCTGAATAAATACAATGACATGTTGTATCAGTTTTTATAATAGATAATAGTTCACATCAAAGATTTCAACTTTTCTTGAATTTATACATTTACTCCAATCTCAAGGGCAAATAAATAAATAAACCAGAGAAACCAAAGCTAAAGCTTTTATGCATAAAGAATAGTAGTAACAGCCAAGAAAACTGAAAAAGAGCAAGGAGAATGGGGGGAAAACTACACTTGGCAGATAAAAAAAAATGATGTAAGGCCTTAGTAATTAATACTGATCCCAGAGTATGAATAAAATAGAACAGAAAGACCTGACATGAAAACTAATACATATGATAAAGAAGTTTACTCCTTCCCTTAAACTGAGCATTACTTTATGTCTTATCTAACTATAACGACACTACTGATGAAAATGGCAAATAATTACTAAGGTTCTGACCACCATGTTCATCAACTAGAAAAAGTAAAAACTGTATTTCACTAGGAATTTGCAACATGGCAAGATGAATTTTATGCTAACAGCACTGAAATGAAAAGGGGACCAGGTAACTGTATGTACAGACTGTGTTTACTTTTAAAGCTTTTTTAAGTTTTGATATTTAACAGTGCCATCAATTACAAAGCTAAGGTCAAAGTGAACTTAAAAATCTTTTACAATATTGGGCTTAGAGACAGACATTAATTTTCTAAGAATGGTGATTGAATAATTCCAAAAAGTACCTTAATACTCCAGTTTTTTTCTCCAGTATGTAATGAAAGAACCTAAAGCCAAAAGACCATCGGTTAACAAAGACATTCTGCTGGCTTTTTCTATCAATGACTGTGATCCTCAATCCTTTTTTTTTCCCTGACAGACTGCTTCCCTTTGTAGACCTCTCAAGTATTTCTCACAAAGCTCGATATCATTAGGCTTGGAGGGGGATAAGAGGTCTTGTTGCCCCCAGACTGTTATTCTCTCTCTCCTCACTAAAAAATTCGACTTCTGCCTCTCAAAGCACCCAACTGCTTTTGTCATTCACTGACCATCAGATCACTCCCTCTCATTCTTTGAGAATTTCAGATCTTGGCTAACTTTCACTCTCTTTTACAACTCCAGTCATAATTCTTGGTGGTTTCAATATATTCGTAGATGATTCTTCCATTAATAGTCCTCTCAGTTCATTAACCTCCAATGATATTGTATTTCACCCTACCTCAGCCACTCATTCCTTTGGTCAACCTTCTGACCTTGTCATTACCAATAATTACAATCCTCCCATAACCTCCCTTTCAAATACCCCATTCTCCAACCACCACTCCTACGTTTTCAGCTCGCCCCTCTCATATTCAACACTCCAACAACCCTTTGAATCCCCCCATTTCTCAGACTTACTATCAATAACTCTTGATTCTACTACATTTCCACTGTCCCTCAGCCCTCTGTAGTTTCATTTGCCTCCATACTCAAAATTCCACTGTCAATCATTTATACCCTTAATTACAATCCTGGTTAAATGCAATTCTTCACCTGCACACATACAGCTGAAAATGGGTAGAGAAAAAACAAAGCCATGCTGACCAGTATAATCTCAAGAGAACTCTTATGCCAACCAGCAATCACACTATATGTATTTCCAGAGCTAATCCATTTGCACACTAAAAGACATGTTAAGGAGAATGTTCCAACAATTCTTCCTCCTGTCTTTCGCATCATCAATTACTCTTTCCACTGCCTTATTTCCATCAGCATTCACTCTATTATCTGACCCCATCTCCCCTCATTGCTTTATTTCTCCTTCCTTTTATAGCAAGACTACTTGAAAGAGTTGCCTATAATCAGTGTTTCAAATTTCTATGTATTTTCTCAGAATCCATTCCAAGTTTTAGTGCCTATCATTCCATCAAAACAGTCTGTCAGGCCATTACTCTTAACTGCTTCCCAACAGATCTCTTTGCTTCTGCTCTTAAGTCCTTATACTCCAATCCTTGACAGTTCACTCTCAATACAGGAGCTAGGATGATCTTCTTAAAAGTATAAGCCAATTCATGTCACTCTTCTACTTAAAATCTTGCAATGGCCTCCCTACTCACTCTGAATAAAAGCCAAAGTCCTTAAAATAACCAATAAGGCATTGATCGGTCTAATTTTCTGATATCATCTCCAACTACTCTAGCTGTTCATTTTGCTCCAGCCACATTGGTTCCTTGCTGTTTTTAGCACATGCCAGACATGTTCGCGCTTCATGGCATTGGCATTTTCTTTTCCCTCTGCCTGTAATGCTATTCCCCAGGGTGAGCTGCATGGCTCACTCCTTTAAGTCTTCAATGTTTATTTCTCGGTGAGCCTTCTCTAGCTATATTACCAAAAAATAAACCAAGCTGCCTTTCTGTCCCTCTTCTCTACTTTTATTCTTCTTAACTTTCTACTATAAAAGCATATATTTCATATATATGTATACATATATGTACATATTTATTGTGTGTATTTGTATATATACGTGTGTGTGTGTGTATATATGTCTATATATCTATCTATATATATATATGTATATATATATTCTCTCTCTCTACACACAGACAATATTTTTCTCTCCACAAGTAGAATGTACTCCATCATGAGGACAGGGATTTTTGTCCATGTGTTCATCACAGTGGCTGGACCAGTGCCCAGCACATAGGAGCTGATACATGTAAATGAACGAGAAATTTAAATAATTTTTCTACAGCTTTTAGTAACTTCAGAAATCTTGCAAGTTACCAGTATTTCATAGTGATAGTTATCCACTAAAATATACACTAAAAAAAAAAAAAAAGAAAAAATCACCTAAAAGGAGGCTAAATATTTGTAATAAACAAAGTTATGTTAACTAATAGGTTTGCTCTACCTCTTTAAAAACTTTCGGGTCTCATAAAGATTAGAAGAAAAAATTAAAATGATTTTTGAAATGCTGCAAAAAAAGCCATCATTCTGGAAGTGACAACTCCCTAAAAACTGAAGATTCTTTAATTAGCTATTAAAATAAACCTGGATACCATACAAATTACCTGGTTAATAAGTATAATAAATTCTCCTCTTGGGAATAAATCCTTTATCATAAAATTGCTTTAATTAAATCTTATTTATGCCAAACTACTAAAATGTTTTACATAATATTTCAAACCATTTTAAAAAAACAAGTGACTGTAAGAAACAATTTTTATAGAAAAGTAAAAACATACCAAAAATGGTGAATAAGCTGACACAAACAGTGATATAATGCATTTAAAAAAAAAGACTCTTTGTAGAACTGTTAATTAACTGTGGAAACACCATTAACTCAATTTCTATATTAGTTTTAAGAATTGGGGAAGAAGCGGGTTCCCATTTTCTTTTTCAATGAGAAAGATACAACACAGTAAAGCTTGGAGGGGAAAAGCACGGTAACAGATTCCTGGGATCAAAGAGGGACTTGAAGATGTTTGAGATCTGAAAAACTGTGTTCAAAAGAGGTACTCATATCATGAACCTCACTGTCAATTTTCCCTTGGAATTGGGAGGAAAAAAGAAAGTGAAGCATAAAAGAAAAGCATCTGCAGTTTAAGACCAAAATTACTATATTGTGTGAAAGCATTTAAAAGACAATTGTTAACGAATGATGCTTACTATCATGTGAAATATTCTAACCTATGATTATTGTAGGTTATTAGTCTTATAAAACACCTAAGTTGGGAGTGGTGCACAACTCTGACTTCAAAGTCTTAAACTGAAGACATTTAGAAGGGACACTAAATTAATAGTTTTCTTGCCCTGCCCCCAGCATTATATTAAATGTTCTTCCTAAAAATTTTTTTTTTTTATATGGAGAACAAGATTTTTAACTAAAGAAAAAAAAAACTTTTAGCATCATTGTCAGGCAGTTGGTATAGAATGAATATTGTCAGTACATGGGACAAATGTACTGAGGCCTTCAACACAAATGCCACATCATAAATGCCTAGTTAGCAGTCCTGTGGAAGAGAGGGTAAAAGAAAAACAAAACATTGTTTTGAAAGTTCTCAATCTTATTGATTTAACCACAAAAAAACCCGAGAAAAATAGAGGCTTATGTAGTTCATGGAAATCAGCTTTGGCTGTCGTGCCTACAGTGTCGAATCACTAAAAGGAAAATAAAGGCATTGTGAATAAAGATAACACTCAATATCTCAGGGAGTTTAAGATATAATAAAGGGGAATAGGGAAAAGTCACCAAGAGAAAAAGTGTCCAATGCTATAAATGCGCACCAAAAAAGCTAAATAGACGTTCGTTCAATTGGGAGATTACGAGGGATAACACGAGTTACAGTAGAATACACGTTGCTCTTACACAAAAGTAGAGCGACGTTTGGCCGTCATTTCTGTAAAGACTGGGAGTGGACAAGTATTCAACTTCATGGCGGCAAGATGCCATGACTCGTTCCATAATCACCAAACCGTGGAAAAAGCCACAACTTCCCATAATCAAATATGCATATGTGAAAATGTATCCATTTTACTGTACCAGGGAAGGGGAGGGTGTACTAGGACGGATGCTGTAAATTCTGAAAGTGCCTTCCTCTCTAGAAGGTTCAGCTCTAAGGTAGAAGCGGGGTAAAGGGAGAGTGGAAGCGGTGAAAATTCGATCGTTGAGATGGCATCTAGGTCCATTCTCGTAGCCTCTGGCAGGGGTGGAGAGCAACAGCAGCGGAGAACCAAGTCAGCTGGAGCGGAAGCGCGACGTGCCTCCAAGCCCTCGCCGGCACCCGCGTTCCGGCAGTTCCAGCTGTCCCATCCCACCCGAGCCGGCTACCACGCGCTGCTGCCGTCACCTGAGGCCTAACCAAAGATTCTTGGAGAAGGTCCCTACAATCTTTAAATCGTGGCAAACTGCAGCTAACGGCAAAAGTCCTCTGCGCTATTCACTTACCTGGAAACAATGATCCCCTTGCGGAGGGGAGCACAGAGGCCAAGTCAGTTCTTGCCGTCACTTCTCAGCGGCACAACGTGTTCCTACGGCCTCCGGCCAAAATGGCGGTGCCCAGCCGCCGCCTCGCGCATGCCATAGGGACGTAGTGCGCACGCGCAACAGGGAGCGCCGGGCGAGACGGCGAGGACTTACGTCATTGTGGTGCGACGCCAATTCACCGTGGTTGGGGAAACCAAGCTATCCAGAGAAGCTAAGTGGGAGTGGCGCGGAGCTGCAGGAATCCTAACACCCTGAGCTGCAGCAAGCCGGGTCAGCAAGCTGTAAGTGCATGAGGTTTTCTCGGACGTGGTGAGTGGGTCTAGGGTAAGCAGATCCGTTCTCTTCCTCCACCTCAGTCTTTTTTTCTGCTTCCAATTTCCTCAAGGCTGGTGGGTCAGGAGTGGAGCCTTAGCCATTGCCCGTTCTAGCACTCCTAGCAGAGGCGTCAAGCAGGGCCAGCAGAGTCTCGTCCAGACACTGCTCGCTGTGGCGTTCCCTCTTGGATCTTAGCTCCTGAACTGTGTGGCCAGGAACCCAGTCTTATTCGAGCTCCATGTTTTTTCCACTTGGTGGCGTCCAGTACCAAGTCCGGCAGTTGAATTCTGCTCCAGTAGAGATAGGCCTTTTTTTGTTTTTGTTTTTGTTTTTTGTTTTTGGGCGTTTGACAGTGACAAGACATTCAGCTTGTAATGATGGCGAGAGATTTAATTGTCTCATCGTAGATCTTAACTTGCGTGTGGCAAATACTTTAGTTTATGATTGAATCGATTCTTCCTTGTATTCATTCAGTAAATTGCTAGTAGAGCATTTGTTTTAGGTCTTTATGAAATTTACACTCCAGTGACTCTGCTATTATCTAGTGAGTATTAAATGCTTGTGTGGAGGTTAGGGAACAAGTGAAATCCAATAGGTGTCAAGAAGATGACATACAGAACTATTGGTCTAGGTTTATAATAATAATAGCATGTATAACGACATTCAGTAGCTATAACTTTGCATTACAAAGCAGTTTTACAGATTGTTCACTATTCAAGAAGTATTTTTTCCCCACGTTTGCATAGACTTGCCAAGGTTAACAAAATTTGTGAAAGATGAAGTAAACTTTTGATTTTGAATAGGCCAGTTACTCACTTTTAGTTCTTGAAGCCATTTTTCTGACTTTATTATCTTCTGTGGCAAGAACATATATAAAGGGACCTTTGGACAACTGGTTGGGAGACGTGATTTTTCTCTACATCACTTAATGGATTATTTAAAATGGAGACCAGTGTTTACATGTTCCTGGAAGAAGAGTATTTCAATCTGAGTTTTCTAGGGAGGGAAAAAAAAACTTCATTTGAATTAAGAATTTTTACTCATAGGAGTGTAGAACTGTGCATCATTATAGAATTATAGATCAAGGTGACCTCTTTGACAGGAAGAGAAATAAAGCCCAGACCTGCACAGAGTCTAGGCTAGTTAAAGGAGGAACTGAAGAAAAAATCCTGATCCTGTGCCCTTTTGCCTACTATACTCTGTTTCTTTGCTCGTCTTGTAAGTCATATTTTAGAAATAACTGAATTCATAAGATTTTTAAATTACAGCGATTAAGTTATGTTAACAGCATTTGAAGATGATGATTAATATCAAGGATATATTTGTGATCCCTTTTGTAATTAAAATTTTATTACTTTTTTAAAAAAGATGTGCAGGTCCTGGTATAATATGGATATTCTTTTTTTCCACATAGAATATTTTTAAAATGACCACACCAAACAAGACTCCTCCTGGTGCTGACCCTAAGCAGTTGGAAAGGACTGGAATAGCACAGGAAATTGGGTCACAAGCTGTTTGGTCACTCTCATCTTGCAAGCCAGGTAAAACAAAATGAGAAATCTGTTTACAGTACCTACTTACCGTTTCCTTGTCCTCTGGAATGACTTTAGTATTGTTTTTGTTTATATTCTTTAATTCTAAAACTAAATTTAATCGGTTGTCATTTGTTATATATCTCTTCCTAATTGTTTTGTTAATATCCACTTCAGTTGAACTGCATATGTCATAAGGTCTGTTTATCTTCCTCATCTCTATTATTCAGTTATTTGGTTAGCATTTTTTTGTTGGCTATTTCTCTAGATAGGATAAGTGGGTGATACATTTTTTGAGTGATATTCCAAAATAACTTTATTTTACTCTTGGTTAGAATAGAATTCTAGAATGTCAGTTTTTTTCTCAACAATTTGTGGACGCTATTTTACCATTACTTCTTTTGTCATTTTGCAAATAAGGCCTATGCCCATCTCTCTTTTTTTCTAAATAACTTGTTCTTTCTTTCAGGAAGCATTTACCCTTTTCCTATTTGTTTTTAGAGTTCGAGACTTTGGCCAGGATATGGCAGGATACATGTGTGTCTTTTCTCATCTCTCTAATTTGATGGGCATTTTCTACCTGTAGGTGCAAGCTCAGAGAAAAATTTTTAGCTTTTGGAACTTTATAATGTTATTGGTTTAGTAGTTGCTTTTCCTTCAGGAACTTGTACTATTTACATGTTGACTCCAATAGCCATCTTCCCAACCAAGCCTCTTTTGTTTCCCTTTACAATTCCTTTCTCTCTCATCAGTAATTTATTGAGGTCTGTCTAATTTACGTACAATAAAATTCACCCTTTTTAGGCATATAGTTCTATGAATTTTAACAAACACAGATAGTCATATAAGTACCATCAAAATCAAATACAGTATGTTTCCATCATCCAAAGAAATTTCTCAAATGCTTTCTCTACATCTATTGCTATGATCATATGGCTTTTCTCCTTTAGGCTGTTGGTGTGATGGATTACATTATTTGATTTAGAATGTCGAACCAGCTTTGCATACGTGGAATAAATCTCAGTTGATTGTGGCATATAATTTTTTTAAAAAATAATATTCTATTTACTAATATTTTCTTGAGGATATTTGTATTTGTGTTCATGAGAGAGATTGTTTTTTAATTTCTCTTTCTTGTGAGTCTTTATCTGGTTTTGGTATTTGGATAATGCAGCTGTCATAGAATGAGAATTAGTCTCTCTGCTTCTTTTTTCTGCAGTAGATTGTAGAGTATTGGAATAATTTCCTCCTTAAATGTTTGATAGAAATCACAAGTGAAACTGTGATTTCTAGACTTGTGTCTAGAAATGGTGATTTCTTTTGGAAGGTTATTAATTTTTTATTTAATTTTTGTAATAGATTTAGATTATCTATTTCTTGTGGCGTGAGTTTTGGTAGATGGTGTCTTTCAAGATATTGGTCCATTTTATTTAGGTTGTCACATTCGTGCACATAAAGTTGTTTATAATACCTCTTTATTTATCTTTTTATTACCCATGGGATTATTAGTGATGGTCCCTCTTTTGTTTCTGATATTAGTAATTTGTGTTTTCTCTTTTTTTCCTTGAATAGGTTTATTGATTTTATTGACCTTTTCAAAGAACCAGCTTGTGGTTTTAATGATTTTTCTCTATTAATTTCCTGTTTTCGGTTACATTGATTTCTGCTCTGATTTTTATTATTTTTTCTGCTTATTTTGGATTTAATTTGCCCTTCTTTATATAATTTTCAAAGGTGAAAGTTTCAGTTATTAATTTTAGATCTCTGTCTCTCTCCATATATATATATCTCTATGCTACAAATTTCTCACTAAGCACTGCTTTTGCTGCATTCTACAATTTTTGATAATTTGTATTTTCATTCAGTTTCAAATATGTTTAAATTTCTCTTGATACTTCTGTGATTCATATGTTGTTTAATCTTTAAATATTTGGAGATTTTTCAGTTTTTGTTCTGTTATTGATTTCTAGTTTAATTGTACTCTGGTCTGAGAGCATATTTTGTATGATTTCTGTTCTTTAAAAAAATTTTGTCTATTTTATAACCCAGAATGTGCTTCATCTTGGTGAATGTTACACATGAGCTTGAGGAGAATTGTATATTCTTGAGAAGCTTGTGTATTCTGTTGTCATTGGGTGAAGTAATCTATAAATATGAATTTGATCCAGTTGATTGATGGTGCTATTCAGTTCAGTTACCTCCATACTGATTTTCTGACTACTGGATAAAGGCTAAGATTCAGTGGCTGAAATTCCTGTAGTGTCCTAGTTTTTGTTTCCCCTGTTATTTTAGAATTTCCCTAGAGACTCTTTAAATGATATCTGAGCTTGCAGTTTTTTAATAACTTCCTGTTGTACAGGAGCCCTGTTGATATGGTGGTTAAATTCTAGGAGGAACAAAAGTGTTCTGTAATCCTGTGGCTAGATCTCAATCTTTTAGTGGGCCTGTGTTCATGGCTGTGACCTTTACAAGTGCTTCTCACCTTTCTTCCCTCTTAGGTGAGATAGTGAAGCTGGAGGAGGCTGGAATTGGATATATTTTCCTTCTCATGTCAGTAAGGCTGTGATAAAACCCATGTTAGTTACTAACACAGTTTTTCTTGAAGACAGGCTTTTGTTGAGGAGAACAGAATGCTCTGGGTGTATTTTACAATCATTACTTTCACTCTCCCTTTGCAGGGAGCATTGGAGAATTTTCTCTGATCTTTACCCTGAAGAAAACCTGGTGGGGCTCCTAGAGGTAGAATTCATGAAAATGCAGAGCCTTCCTAAGACTGGGCTTCCAGGAGTTTTTCTCTCTCAAGCCAGTCCACACTCAGTCTCCAGCAATTTGTCAATTAGCCAATTACTCTTTTAAGTTTTCCTACCAGTTGCCGACTCCAGAGATGGTGCTCACCTCTCTCTTCAGTTTTCTGGGTGATAGTTTTCCCTGTGACCTCAATTCTTTTTGTACCTAAGAATTACTGGTTTTAGTTAGTTCATTGTGTTGTAAGGATGAGAATGACATCTTCCAAGCTCTTTACATGTCAGACTGCAAACTGGATGTTCTTCCTTTTGGTTTTAAACTATATATCTTCTTATTTCAACTGGATTTCTTGTAGGCAGCATATTATTGGGTCTTGCTTTTTTATCTAATCTGACGTTCTTTATCTTTTAATTGGGAGTGTTTAAACCATCTACACTTAATGTTTCTATTGATGTAATTAGATTTAAAACTACTATCGGAATTTATTTTCTTTTTCTTGTTAATGTTTGTTCTTCTTTTTCTCCTGTTTTCGGATGAATTCAGTATTTTTATGATTCTATTTTATCTCTACTACTGACTTATTAGTTATACATTCTTTTTGAAATTTCTGCGTGGCTGCCCTAAGTGGTTGCCTTTTATCACAATTTACCTTCCAGCAGTATTATACCACTAGATATGATACATGAATCCTTCAACCATCCTTTCCAGCTCTTTCTCCTATCCTTTCTGCCATTTTTGTCATACCTCTTACTTTCATATTTTAAGCTCCAGAATATATTGTTGCTATTTTTGTTTAAAAGGGCCAATTACATTTTAGACTGATTAAAATATAAAAATATACCTTTTATGTTTACCTTAATTTTTTCAATTTTTGGAACTTTTCATTTCTTTGAATAGATTCAAATTTCTGTCTGATATTGTAGTCCTTATGCCTAAAGAACTTTCTTCCACATTTTTTGTATTGCAGGTCTGCTAGCAATGTTAGGTTGGAAAAGTTTTCATTTTGCTTTTATTATTGTATCTTTTCCCTGCGTGGGATTCTAGGTTGGCAGGTTTTTCCATTTACTGCTTTAAAGATGTCATTCCATTATCTTTTGGCTTGCATAGTTTCTGAAAAGAAGTCTGCTTTAATTGACTTTTTTTTTTTTTCCTGGCTACCTTTAAGATTTTATCTTTGATTTTCAGCAATATCAATATGATGTGTCAACATGTATATGTGTCTGTGTATGTATAATCCTGCACGAGATTCACTGAGATTCTTGGATCTTCTGGTTTGATGTCTTGCATTATTTTATGAAAATTCATGGCCATTATTTCTTCAAGTATTTCTTTTGCCCTATTTCTTCTCCGTTATCTTTCTGGGAATTCAGTTATACATATGCTAGATTATTTGGTATTGTCTCATAGTTTTTAGGTTTTCTATTTTTTTTCCACTCTTTTTTTCTTTGAGTATTTTTTTATTGGCCTACCTTCAAGTCTACTGCTTCTTTCTTTGGCTTTATTGAATCTACTGATGATTCTGTATTCTGTTTAAAGAATCTTTCATCTCTGGTATGGTTTTTTTTTTTTTTTTAAATAGCTTTTCCATTTGACTTTTAAAGGGGTTTTCATCTCTGTTGAAATTCCCTATCTGTTCCTGCATTTCATCTACCTTTTCCCCTGCTTTCTTTAACATTAATTATAGTTATTTAAAATCCCTGTCCAATAATTCTAACATCTGGATAATATCTGAGTGTTTTTCTATTGATTGCTTTGTCTTTTGATAATATTTGTTTTCCTTTCTTGTTTGTCATAATTTTTTATTGAATGCCAACTCTCATATGTAGACAGTACCTCACAAGATTTTCATATTCCTCGAAAGATGCCCAGGGCTTATGGTGGGATCTGTTGTTCCAGAGAAGTTTTCTTAGTGTGCTTCCTTGACTCTCAGTTTCACCTTTCTCTGTACCCATGTACTTCAGATGGTGTCTCTCTCCATGCTCTTGCCCTGCTTCCAGCACTAGAATACTGTGCCTCGTTACTCAGTGTGGGGATGAGAAGCAGGGCTTGTTCTCTGTTTTTCTGGTCCAGTTTGTCTTAAACAAACCCTTTATGCCTGGTCTCCAGGGTAGGGCTTTCTTAGCATTTTAGGCCCTCCTATGATAACCAAACTCAGTCTTGTATCTGTGGCTGGTCTTTTGTGGGAGAGAGTTTTCTGCTCCATGTCCGTAGGACGGACTGTGTCCTGCTTCTCCCTCAGGGGTAGAGGTTTTTTTCTTTTACTCTTCTCTCAGCGAGGATGGGTCTATGTCTGTGTCCTGGAGTCAACCGGTTTGATGCTCCTCTCCCAGCAGCTTAAGTCCTTTTAGAAGGAGGGTGGGGCTCTTTGCTTTTCCTGCAGTGGTAATCAGTCTTCTTCTCTATGCATGTACCACTGAAGTAGGCTTTCCACTCTCCAGCTTTCCCCTAGATCTTTCTGGTATGTACAGTGAGGGCCCTTGGAAAAGAGTCTGAAAGGAACGTGAGTTCCCCTTGTGTTTGGGACTTCCAAGGCTGCTATACTTTATGTTAGCCCACACTTGGCCTTTAGTAATTTGTTAAAGTCCAACCAGATTTATTCTTAGGTCAATGTTATCTGGTCAATGTTCTTTCCTTCTATGCCTCCCACAGTTTGGAACGATACTATGTCCTTTTTCTCCTGAGCCTAGGAGCTGCCCCTTCTTGAATTTGAGGCTGTTTAGTTGCTGTGTGGTTCAAGCTCTCATTTTTTCAAGAAAAATTTGTGGTTTATATAGCCTTTCTTTTTTTTTTTTGAATAGGGATGATCTCATATCCTAGACTGCTTCAGAAGTTTCTCATATTCTTTATAACATCAAATACTTCTGTGATTTTGCCCAAATTGAATATCTTCCATTGCTTGACCTAATTCGACTAGTGCCATACTATGTCAGTAATGTATGAATCAGTGCCAGTTCACATTCTTTTATGCTATAGCATTTGCAGAGGGCAACACGTAGAAGTCACTGATTCCCTGAAGATGCCCCACTGCTCTGATATCATCCAGATACAGAAGACAACAGTTGACACTATTAAAAGAGTGGTGAGACCACTTAAAAATGTGTCGGATATGAAAGTCATGAAATTTATCAGTGTGGGGTCATACATCCATTTTACTCCCTGTGATTTTGAGCTTTGAGTCCATCGGTGATATATCATTGATATGATTATCATTTTACACATTAAAAATGACTGACTACTCTTTATTAATGAGAAACAGCATGAGAAAGTTAATTGTTTAACCTTTACTTTGCTTCTCTATGGTCAGGTATTTTTCAATTCAAGTCAGTAAACAATTGCTCTAGAATATTGTTAGAGATTTAATGATAAAAAAGACACCACCCTTGCTGTCAAGGAGTTGTCAATCTACTGGAGGACTCATGGCTTTAAACTAGTTATTATTGTACAATATAATAATGTGTAACTTCTGTCGAGTGCTTACTAAATGACATATCTTGTCCTAAGTACTTACATATATAAAATAAGCAATTATGTCAATAAAATCTCCAAAAGTCACACGAAGTATGTACTATAATGTATTTTTATCATTTTCTAAATAAGGATACTATAGTACAGAAATATTAAGTAATTTGGCAAAGATCCCATAATGAGTGAGAATGCTGAGATCCAAGCAGTCAGGACCCACTATGTCATGCTGCTTTGCCACAAAGTACGGGCTCAGTGCAGTAGCAGCCCAGAAGAGAAAGTGGCTGACTCTGCCTGAAAGGATCAGAGAAGTCTTCATGAAGATAACGCTTATGCTGCGTGATGGAGCAAGGATAGGATTTCACTGAGTAAGGATATAATGGCGAGAGGAACAGTATGCACAAAGGTATACAGCTTAGACAAAAGGTGGCTCATTCATAGAATTATAGGTGGTCCGTAAGTCTAGAACAGAACGAGGTGGCCTAGATGAAGCTAGGAGTTAGGGAGAAGCCTGATCACATGGGACTTTATTAAACAGTTCATACTTTATTGTATAGCTAGTATGAACCACTGGAAATCTTTAAGTAGCAGTGTAAAACAATCAGAGTTCACATTTGTGAAGTGAATATAAATATACACATAGTATATTTAGGAGATGTTCTTTAAAAATTAGGGCCAACAACCAAGAAAACTCAGTTCTAATATAAACGTTTTCGTTTGCAAGTGCTATTTCTTCTAATGGTTGAGGTCTGGTTAAGAAGATAGAAGAATTCTGGTTAATTTAAATTTCATACTACTGACCATCCTGTTTGTCAAACTTTCTGGACAAATATACATGGTAATTTTATGTTTTGAATATATAGCTCTTTCTTTATCATGAGAATTTATCGTCACTTGTCTTTAGGTTTTGGAGTAGATCAGTTACGAGATGACAATCTAGAAACTTACTGGCAATCAGATGGCTCCCAACCTCATTTAGTGAACATCCAATTCAGGTAATACATTTTTGAATTTTTCAGTTTGTGTAGGTTATAAGTGGACAAAGAAATCCATTTTATATACATAAGGTTTAAAAAATATTGAAATTATAGTGAAATGCATTTAACTCTGCTTTTGATCAGTCTTAGAGATTATTATTCTGCTCACTAGATTGTTCTAAGTTTACTTTGTCTTATTCTTTATGAATTTATGGTACCTTCCATACACAGTTCCTTTAATGTAGATATTTCTCAAATATACTTTCAACATGATTTATCTCAGAAAAATATGCTTTGCTTATGACCCAGCACAATGACTTGATGCACTGCATTAAGTACACCTGGAGTGATGGTAGTAAGTTCATTATCAGGGGTAGACTTAGTTTATAAACCTATAAACCAAGTTTAGCTATAGACTATTCATATAACTTCTCAAATTTGTACTTCCATTTGGAAAAAATATTTTAACATAGAACCTTTAAGGACATTTTCAGTTTTCAAATTATTGGGGGCGGGGAGGAAAACAGCCATTTCGTTTGTCAATTGCTTTGAATTTATTGACATAGATAGAAACCAGTTAACTTGGTTATCTTATTCCATTTATGGCATCTATTTTAACGACCTATAGCATTGTGTTTTTAGTTTGTTATTATCTTCTTAGGTTGCAGATCAGCAAATTTCTTATGAAAAAGCTGGGTAGTAAATATTTTAAGCCTTGTAGGGTGTCTGGTCTCTGTTACAACTACTCATTTATCCCATGATAGCACAAAAGCAGCCATAGGCAATGCACAATGACTGAATTTAGCTGTTCCAATTAAACTTTATCTTACAAGAGTAGGTGGTGCATGAGGTTCAATCAGTGGGCAGGAGTATGCTAACTCCTGTCCTAGGGTATGAAATATATATACACCAGAAATAAAAACCGGGTAATATTTTTTTAAAGACTTAAAATACCAGATACTTTGCTAAATGCCTTACCCATTCATTTCATTTAACCTTTACTGTTATTTTTAATTCTTTGTGGTCTCAGAAGCAGAGACTTAGGTAAGGTAAGTAATTTGCCCAAGGTCACATAGCAAGTGAGTGGCAAAATTACAATTTGAACACAAGTACTCCAACTCGAGAGCCACTGCTTTTAATCGTTAGATTGTATAGTGCAGGGTAAATTGCTTTTCTGTGATAACAAGGTTATTGCTTCAAAGTTGTATAATATGTGTCCTTATTTAATTGTATTATATTGGAATAGCAGGGTTTTTTCCAGCAAATACGGTTTTATACAGAAGGCCAATGTATTGAACAAATGATAATAAAAATAACCTATTGAAATAGTGAAGAACAGGAGAATGTTAAGAACAGTTGAAGTTCTTCTGGTTAGCTTCATTTTGAAGAGAAGGGTTGATGGTTTAACAGTGGAGATAAATAAAAATTTTTTAAAAAGATCAATATTTCCCAGAATCTAGTTGAATGAGAGCATTGATAGCCATAAATGCCATTGTCATTTAAAACACTTTGAACAAAAAGTAGTTTATAAATTGAGTGGTATCATGAATACACATAAATACCAACACATGTATGGCTGTAAATTGCTTAAACCAAATCATATAAATTAATTTCTCCTCCTCTCCAAATTGAAGACTGTCCATAACTTTTATACTTTATAATTTTGTAGGGTTTTAGATTTTTAAAAAATATTAGTTAACAGATGAACAGTAGGACCTGTTGCATGATAGCACTGCAGTTTCAGCACTTAGACATCTTTGTTAAAAAAACCAAACCATTTGTGCAATCATTAAATAGTTTACTACATTTCTCCCTTATTTTTAAAAAGTAGAGCAAATGGAAAAAATCAAAGTGCTGATATCATTTTAAAAATAATAGATACTAAGCTTAATAACTTAAGACAATTGTGACTATGTTGGAAATCATTAATCTCAACCAGATATTTATTGGTCCTTACCATTCAACTACATGGTACAATACGAATGGATAAAAAAAACCAGAATTAAAGGAAATTTGTTGTCAGAGATTATGACTAAAACGTGGTTTAATATAAGATTGAGTAAACTTTTTAACTCTTAGGAACTAACTTTTATACCTTCATTATGTAAGCCCAGTGTTCAGCTTTCTTCCATTTGATTTTCTACATATTTTCATGCATACCTTGTGTAGTAAAGAAAGGACTTTCTGTATTGAAAAGAAATTGTATTACAGGTAAGCTTGAAAGAAGTTCAATTCAGACTTTATATTTTGTTAAGATGAAACAAAATATTTAACTCCTTAGGTATTCTCTCCTTCACAGAGAAAATAAACAACTCTTAATTCTTGTAGCAGTTTCTCAGCTAGTTGAGCATGTAGATTTTGGGAATGATTAGTATGTATTGCTGATGTGTCAAGGTGGGCTTGTAGTGCATAATTACACAGTAGCATTTAGTTTTAGACCTCATCCCTCCTTTAAATCAGGGACAAATTATTGCCTTGCCCTAGATGAGAACTCGAAGAGGAGCAGGTATGACATTTTGGGGTAATAAATACAGTTCTCTGTTCATTTCAAATAGCAAAAGATAGATTAGAAATGAAAACGATCAGTCCTAGCTAATAGTGAAAGGCTCAGACTTGCTTTACTTTCTTGTAAGATTTATTCCTCTCCCTAAGCTTGAGTCTGTTGTGAATGAAAGAATAAAGGTGTGGCCTGCTTTT